CCTCACAGAGTATATCTTCGAATATGCCAACCACTTGTGAGGTTATATTCTATTCAGGTGTTAGTTACAAAGATAGTTTTTGCCCCCAGTTTAAACTTACAAATCATGAGTATCGTTCTCAGCTATTATACATACATTATGGCAATGTTCAGTCAATAAGTTCATGGTGTGAGCGAGGGGTATGATTCGCTGCGCCGCTGCAGTGAAACGACAAATCATAGATTACTGCGTTGAAGCGAACACTGTATATATACAATAAACTAACGGGGCAGCCGGTGTAAATCAAAGGCGCCGACAAGGTAGTAATCGTGAGAAAATAAAACCGAAAATAATTGGTGATGGACGCCTTTTTGTAACAAGTTTATCAAAACTCGTGCTGGAAGTCGATGTTGGGGGGACATTTGAAGTACAATATACAACTGCTTTATGTTGTGTTTAGTATTCAACGATTTACAGATGCATACTCGCGACTGAATCGAATTCATCGTTGTTATACATCAAATCATCACCGAATGCTTCGATGCGTTCTGAATTCTAAATCATACATGCACAAAAAGAACACCGATAACTCTGATCGGTTTGAATGTTTGAGAGTAACTACGCCGGGCATTTGTCTGATTTGTGTTTGGGGACAAATACTTATAATCACTGTTCGGTACTCTAAATGGGTGAAATGAAAATACACGTAAATGCCACCATTTTACCATGGCCATGCCATGCCATGGCCATGCTGTGTGGCGCGTATCGCGTGGACGGGTTTCACGTTCTCTGCACGTAATAAGCTCGGTTATTAAGCATCCTTTTTTGGGGATGCCCGGTGGCCGAGGGAAGACGTGTAGTGGCGTGAAGCTAGGCGATTGGTGCCGTACGCGAGCGCCGGTTCGAGTCCCACGCATGCAGTACGTATTTACTATAATTAGACATAGTCTTTACCTTGCCGTTTATTCGGTGTTATTTGCTTACTTTACTTCCTATGTCGACAGCAACTATGAGTTTAAAATTTTTTTATATTTATAGCGAAATGCAAATTCCAAATATGGAATGATTACGCGTATGTACTGGACTCCACACAAAGAAGCTAGCTGATTCTGTTCTAAACTTTTTGGATTTCGACATTCCCATGATGTATCCTTGGAAGGAAAAGATGTATAAAAATATGGTTATTACGAGAAAACTGAGTATGCACTCAGACAGTATACCGTTGCACGTCAGACGATACTCGAGCTCTACTGTCTTTGTGCATACTTTGAGGTATCCTCGTAAAATAACCTCATATTATCTTACCTTATCAAATGGAAGCATGCCCTTTAATGGGAAGGTTAATCCAGCGGTTTCTAGTTTCCACGAATAACTACCAGCCCCAGAATGCACAACAACAGGGAATAGTTTATGACGACCTGAAAGTTATTTAATAATAATTCAAACCAATTAAAATTCACTGTTTATTGCATGATAACAGAATCCACATTAATGCTTTATTCAGAAGCTCACCTCTATTACTGAACTTAGAATAAAAATGTCTCAAACGTTCATACATTTCTGAAATTAGTTTCTAATATTACCAGTGTATTTATAAACATTGTCCTGCATTTTGCAAAACTGAAGACAACCCATAAACATTTGAGACAACATTATCATTTGAAGTACTTTTGTAAGTATTGGATATTCACAATCTGGGAATGGAATCAATACTTCCTTACAGTGTAAGGTTATGGTGATTAAAAAATCCATCAAAATGTAGTAGAAAACTCACCAGTTATAGTTACCATATGTGCTGTTGGTCTGAAACTATCAACAAAATTGGCTACGGTTTCACCAAGAACCTGTAAAACATATTGTTATGTTAAATTACATGATACAAAATTACATTACATTACATTACAATACATTACATTGCATTACATTACATTGCATTGCATTACATTACATTGCATTGCATTACATTACATACAGTGTAATACAATAGGTGAAGACGGATCAACCCTTTTTATTGAGTAAATTCAAAAATAAATGTATGCCCTCAATGATGAAAAATAACAGTGACCATATTTTGAGATTACATATTACAGATTTTAATAAATCTGATACCAAAAACAATAGAATTAAAACATTAGCGAGTTTCACCATGCTATTCTCACGCTCGCAATGCCTCATGGGGAAGATGAGAAGTTTGAGATCAGTCAGTAGACGAGTACAGCCGATACATCTGAACATTTGTTTTCATGTGTATTCATTTAGTACCATTTAGATCAGTATTTACTGAAATCCTACATGCTGCAGATATCTCTTTACTTTGACCACCTACCCAGTGTGGAATGGGCTTTGAATCTGGAAAAAGTTTTCTGATTTCATTGATGGCAAAATAACTTGGCAGGAGACATGCATTTCTATCTAGTATGTGAGTAACAACCTAAAAATAAGAAAAGAGTACATTGTAACTAAAAAACATTAAATACGGTATAGCACTGTCACTAGATTCCTCTATGTACACTCACTGCTCTATGATCAATCAGTCTTCTCAATTATGTATTCAAATGAGGTTAACTCTATCTCCACCATTATTAGCCATTTCACCAACATTATCAACTCATGTAACCTTCCACAAAATAATCTTCCACAAAACTAATAACATTTTTAATCATTGATCGATCTGCAGGTTCAAAATAAACAATAAAATCAGAGAAAATTTACAAATATTTGAATCAAAATTTTAGCAGAAAAATAATTGTGCTGTGAAAGGATTTACTCATGGCAATTACCCGGTACTGGGTACTAGTTACCTGCATCCTAGTTGCTGTTCGCAAGGGATCACAGAAACTAGTGAATCTGATAATACCAGAACTACAGTGTACATAAAATTATTGGTATCATAGCATAAAGAATAAAACAAAGCTGAAAATACCAGTAATTTAAAGTTTCTAATAATCTGGTCAAAGATTAGGTTCAAAGAAAAAAATTATGTTTCGGGTCAGCGTGTGCACCACAAAAGAAAGTCTTGGCCGACCTTTTTTTTCACTTATTTTGCCATTGCACATAGTACAGCACCCCCTGTTGATGAAGTAATGAAACCTGAAAAAGTTTGACCAGAAATATTGTTTTTATGCAAGGCCACTTGTCACTTTTATTAATTTTTTCTGCAAAATACAAATTTTTCACATTTCATATGATAAAAATTATCAGATGCAATTAATTCCCCATTAATTCTTGTTCAAATTTATTAAAAGTGACAAAAGTTGACATTAGTGTTCAAGGGTTTCATATCTTATTATATCATATGACTTACCTTCATAGCGACCTCTAACTGTTTCAGTGTAGATACGTTTAAATTCACAGGAATTGAATTAATCCTCTCTAGGATGGTTCGAAGTAAATCGGTACAGCCCTGAAAAATCGAACACAGCTATCAAGTCAGTCACATAGACTACTAGATGTGAAGAATAAACTGTGCCAGCAAGATAAAATAAATATCTGCTGTCTGGTTATTCTCTATCACTGGCTAAACCATGTAACTATTTTTCAAAAAATCAAAAATACATATTGCAAAAAGTAAACCCAAAACTAAATAGGATATTTACTGTATTATGCATGAAAACAAATCAATGACGAATGCAACTTGTTATCATGCGATGTTAAATTGACTGAAAAAACAAGAGAATACAGAGAGAATGACAGCCAAGATTGTTCTAGTTGTGATGTACAGCCTTGATCAGAACACCATATAAAGAATGATCCTTAATTAATATTGTTGAAAAACAGTTCATCTTCATCGCCATGATATGTGCGATATGGGTTCCATACAACAAATACATTGCATGTAAAATACATTGTTTATACAAAATTCAAAAATATGCAATGCATGATGACTATGGCGTTTCAAGGATATGCTACACATTGTAATTACATTGACATTTTGCATGTTGCTAATAATTAGAGGCAGGAGATTAATCCAGTGATAATGTACACGAGTAAAAGACAAACATTCTTTATGATCGTCTTATTGGTTTTCATACCTTGTAATCAACACTTCCTATAATTTTCCTTATCAATACAAACGTCTGGTACCACAAATCGGAATTGTTATAATCCAACTTACTGCACTTTAACAATGCGTCACAAATTAATCTGGATGGAAAGACAAAAAAACAATTAAGAGATTCATAAAATACAGATTAATCTACCGATTTTTTACTCATATTGTAACATATACTGTAAAATCACTAATTTTACTATTTAAAGATTTATGTTCATGAATTTTGAAAGAAACGAGTTATTTTTATTGTTATTTTACATTGTTCATGTGGATGTAATTTAGCTGATTTTACTTATGAACACATTGAATAACTCCTTGGGTTTTGACTAAACAGTTGGCTTTCGAACCTGGCTGGCGCCGACTCGTGGTCACGTCCACTCTGGGCGAGTCTATATTGCATTAGGGAACATAGAATGCTTTTACGTCTGGATTCTCCTGAATGATTTGCTTTGCAAGGCGTGATTTCCCTGGTCAGCCTGGGAATGGCCTGAGAATGCAATTAATCCACCGATATTTTACCATATGAGGGTAGCCATCTTGAACACTGATTGAAACTAAATAAAGGGAGAAGTTGAGAAACAGTTTCCTATAAAGCAAGGCGAAAATAAATTTACACATCCAAACGATTCGTTGGGGTAACATTAAACCAACCGCTACCCCGGTAATAAAATTCGACTTCATTCATCGTTTTTGCGTGGACAATCCTTTGTATCGAACACCTCATTACATGAAGAAAATAGAACACTTTCCCCGTATATTTGAAAGTGAAATCGCCATCCAACTAAAGTATGACGACCGTGCCCTACTGTTATATAGATTCACCAAGAGTGGGCGTGACCACAGGACGGTGCCAGCGAGATTCGAAAGCCAACCGTCCAGTCAAAACCAAAGCAGTTAGCCAATTCGCTAGCGAGTTTGCAATTGTATTGGCTGCCTCAATACTTCTGAGACTTGCTGTAACAGTTACAAGTGCAGAATGTGATCAGGTAAACAGTTATCCACAGATGATTGTTGGTGATGTTTGTTTGACTTTGATACTTTCAATGCTCTTCAAAGGTATGGCTGGTAAAAATACCATTTTATGTCTTTAAGAAAATGATATTACCATATGGCTGCTATGTTGTATGCAGAGCTGTATTACCAATATTGTGTTTTGAATCTAACCACTTGCACACTTAGTATGAGTTTGTACTACACTAATCTGATTAAATTCTGTTGACTAATAATGACTAATTTTTGCTAGGTTTAAATTTCGCTGATTTACCATTTCAGGCATATTCAGTGGGTTTTAAATTCACGGTTTTATCATTTAGATAATGTGTTCTATGCTAAATTTAAATATTCACTGGGTTTTAATTTAGCACATTTTCCAGTCAGCAAAATAAGTAAAATTAAAACCCAGTGAATAATTAACCCTTTTACAGTCATGATGTGCTACATTTACTTTGGGTACAACTACATCTGACAAAATGACCATTAAAACATGACTCTCTGTACATTCATCAACCAACAAGTCATTGTTAATGACACAGCCGGTAACAAGATTTCTGATTGGTTGCATATCATACAAAACTTGAACATGATTGGTCAGATATAGTTTGAGGCGATGACTGGTAAACTGACCAGAGCCTCTCCTACATCCATTTTTAATATGATTGCTACTATACCCGATGGAATCTGCACTTACTTTGGCGGGATATGGCTGGTTTCAACAGCACTTCCCACTAATACTCGATGGAATCTGCACTTACTATGGCAGGATATGCCTGGTTTCAACCGCACTTCCCACTACTATACTCGATGGAATCTGCACTTACTTTGGTGGGATATGCCTGGTTTCAACAGCACTTCCCACTAATACTCGATGGAATCTGCACTTACTATGGCAGGATATGCCTGGTTTCAACCGCACTTCCCACTACTATACTCGATGGAATCTGCACTTACTTTGGTGGGATATGCCTGGTTTCAACCGCACTTCCCACTACTATACTCGATGGAATCTGCACTTACTTTGGTGGGATATGCCTGGTTTCAACCGCACTTCCCACTACTATACTCGATGGAATCTGCACTTACTTTGGTGGGATATGCCTGGTTTCAACCGCACTTCCCACTACTATACTCGATGGAATCTGCACTTACTTTGGCGGGATATGCCTGGTTTCAACCGCACTTCCCACTACTATATTCGATGGAATCTGCACTTACTTTGGCGGGATATGCCTGGTTTCAACCGCACTTCCCAACATGTCGCACAATAATTTGATTCTTTGTCTGCTTCTGAGTGAGTGTATATACGAGACATAATACTCCATAACCACTTTATGTGATTCCTAAAACAAAAGAAGAAAAAAACAAAAATGTGAAAAGTTGACGACAGACTACATACTACAGATGCCGGACAATCAGTAATATGAAGAGCTCAGCGCCATCGACTTTGTCAACAGCAAAGCTAAAAATTAGACCGGTGACCCCCAGCTTTTTTTAGGTCAATATCATTTTGTTGAGTACAAGTTTTTGAAAAATGAATAAATTCTGGGTATGTACATTTATAAGTCATTTATGAGTCAGTCCACCATAAGGTAGAGATGCACCTTTTCAATAGGGCATAAGGTGATGAAGATAACATTCAAGACATTTCGAAATCTGAGTATTTCTCCTTATCAAGAAATGTATTTGAATTTTATTTCGTTTACAATTCACAGTATTCCATGGTAGTATTACAAGAAAGGCACAAATAATCCCTCTTTATAAGATATTTACCGGTGGTACTGATTTCCAGAATGTTCTGAAAGATTCCAAACAACATAAAATCTTCTTTTTGTCATCTTCCTGGGAATGCAGAATGTATCTAAAACAAAATGAAATCATTTGATGCCGAGTGTTGTGAAGATGAAAATAAACTGTGATTCTCATCAAAACAAGTTTCTATTTCATTCCACAAATTTCTTCTGCTTGAACATCAACCCAGTAGGCTAGACATGTCAACATTGACAACCAGGTAATTTTATTAATTTGGACTCCTGGGCTTATATTGCAAAGTATGGACAATAATACAGCCATGTGTAGCAGTGGTCAATATGTCTGTGATACTATTTATCAACAACATTATACAGCAGACATCAAAAACGATAGAATTCATTCATTCGTAAAACGCCATACAGATGTGTTCAAACCTATTAGGAGCACATTTCACTATCTTCCTTATTTGGAAAATGTATGACAAGTTTATGTCCATTCGAACAGTTTTTTGTTTACACTGAACACAGAATTACCACAGCAGATAGCAGAAATAGATCCTAGTTAAAGCGGGGGTGTCGTCAGCTACGCATGCGTCAGGTGGCCATAGCATGTCATTGTTTACAAACAAGCGCCTACCCATGAGCCTTTGCACTCTTAGCGTGCGTTGTTAGCATCGCTTGGGACTCAATTCTCGCACATGATGACTTTCCTGCTTTAATACATGCAAATTCACTGAAAGTTATCTCTCACTAAATTATTATTACAAGTAGGCAATAGATGTATATTAATTAGCTTATCGCCTTTGTGCATACTTTGTGATATTTTTGTAATAACTGTTTACTGTTCTCACTATGACCATATACATCCTTCAAATGACTACTGTAGAATACTTTATTTTAGCTGAAATTAATTTTCACTGAATAGACTTTTTGAGCGTTTTGTATGAAATTTATTTTCACTGATTTTTGACGAGTTGAATGTAAAATATAGAAAAAAAGGTATATTTGCTGGATTTTATTTTCAATGAATCATTCCTTCTGTGAAAATAAGTTTCCCAAGTGAAAATAAAGTATTCTACAGTTTTCAGTAATTTCTGTAAATTATTTTCTCATTAACCGTATCATAAACAGGCATTCACTATTTTAACCCCACAGATTCTGGCTGGGGTCCAATAGTAGATTCTCTGTTTATGACATAATTTTATCCAAATAAGGAAATATTTGAACACTGTCTGATACAAATTTTAAATATCATTTAATGCAGGTTTTTATTAACAGCCATTTTCTGTTGTTCTCAGTTGCAGTTGTAGGAATAAGTATGGGTAAATATAAACAAGCTCTACAAACCCACAAAAAGCTTCTTCAATGGCAGTAGTTTTCTGAAAGTAGGAAAAATGTAAAATGTTATAACAAAATATAACATTATAACAACAGAACTTAATTCACATAATGATAAGTACATTATTTTTGAACAATAACTTCAATGAAAGTTTGCGCATGGTAAAACAATCAAGCTCAATATGTAGAGTACTTGCATGTACCAGTGAATAAACACCTTGAAATAAACACATGACTGTGATTGGTAGACAGAATGTGAACCATATATTTTTAAAAAATATAATAGCAAGCGTAGAGAGAGGGAGCACTTGTGTTAACGTGTATATACGTTTTTGTATCAGAGTACGGGAGAAATCTTTATACCCTAAGAATTTAAAATGGTGAACCTTTGATTGATGGGCTGTGTCATTATTTGTTGTTATATCACAAATTCATGAAAAAACATCTTCAGAACATTCACCTTGAAAATTCAAGATGAGGTTAGACAAAACTCAGAACTTATATAAGACTGCTAAATCACTGTCAAATAATGATGTTTTACCATCCATGTGTGTTAAAAGTAAGAAGAACATTACCAAAATTGGGTATAAGAATATTAGGGGACTCAAATCAAAAAACATGAAGTATCTAGTTTATTACACAGTGAGAATATTTTGATTTTTGGTATTTGTGAGTCTTTTCTAAAAAGAGATGATATAGTGCACATTCCAGATTACAACATTGTACAAACATGTGGAGCTAAAGGTGGAGGTATTGGATTGCAAATTCATAATTCAGTTGTTAGTCAAGATGTAAGGAGTGTCTTGACTCTCATAGTGATGATGTGAAAGATTGTGGGTTAAAGTCAGATTTAAGGGTGCAAAGGAATGTGTTTGTATAGTTTATTTTCCTCTTCAGGGTAAAAATAAGAATTTAGTTGATGAGCTATACCGTATCACCAGTTATTAGTAGATGTATTAACCCTTGAAAATCAAGGTAATGAAAATATTTAGCTGATGGATGACTACAATAGTAGAAAATGAATTGGCTTTTGTGAGGATTCTGGCCTAACCTTTGCTAACACATCACAATGTGCTGAAAGTAAATTTACCTGGTTTAGAAAAAATCAACAATCTATTATTAATAACTTTTTGATTTTTAAAACTATTGAAGATATTTCACAAAAATTCATAATAGACGATAACTCAAACTACCATCTAGGAAGTGATCACAACATAACAACAAACCATACAATAATTAAAAATAACCTAAAACATTACTGGAACACATTAAGAAAAATGAACAAATCTTTCATTGAAGAGGAAAATATGACAGATTTTCATTAAAAAAAATATTAGAAAGTTTAAGAGTAATTAGGAAAATACAATCCACTGTGGATTAATATTATTATTAAAATTAATACAACTGTACAAGTTGTTCATGGCACCATCTTTTTTTACTTCCATGATGCCACCATTTCAAATAATAACTAAACACCCACAGTTTACTTTGATAATAATCTATGGTTAGTTCATTTCTATTTTTAGTAAATAAACTTTTGGCTGCACTCGCTCACCAGGCAAATTTTTTTCAAATAAAGATCTTTCATCTACGCATGGAGCTCCATGATCTCCGTCACTTTGAATGTCGGTGGTCTGTTATGGAGAGGCAGGGTCAGCATACATGTGTATATTAGAAAAAAACTGTTTGATGAGTGTTCAATAAATATTTACACAATGGATGTGAATTCCATATTTAAAAAGATTATGGAGAATAATATAGCTTTAGCAAAATACTTAAAGAGCACAATTTTTAAAACCACAGAAAGTAATTAATTTATTTTTTTATTTTATTTTACTAACATTTTATTTTTTATCTCTTATGTATTGTATGTATTTATGTTCCTTACCATACAAAAACCCTCTGAAGGTTTTTTAGTAGTGTAATAAAGTTATTATTATTATTGTCTGTTTCAATAATTTGCCATTTTGGATTAACCTTGACCTCTCAACTTTGCCCTAAGTTGCGGAACATTTTCAGCTTAAAGCTTCGACCATTATTGCATGTCTTGACCTGGGCCAACATTGAGGGTTGGGTTTATATAATAATGTGTTGTATTTATTTACATTCACACACTAGTTCGAATTTCAAGGAAGTCTGACTTACCAGGACATCCGTCAATATATCCTGTAGTTTCGTTTCCATTGACGACATAGTGAACAAATCTTAATGAATAAATAAGTGTCTCAAACGTATATCTATGATCAGGGTGAACTGTCGCTACAACGAGTAGAAAAAGATGCCCTCAGCATGACAGATCTGTCTCAAACGATCAACATTCAATAAAACATTGAATGCCCACGCTGATGCCACGCTAGATCTTAAAAAGACGGTAGAAGACAATTTTAAAAGGAATTTGTTCCATAAACGCGGAATAATTCAATGATGTTTTTGTGTAAAACACAAATACTACCAAATATTACAGGTGCTTGCTCGGAAATGTGACATTCGCGTGAAACGAAACACTTTTCACTTCACACAGGGAGCCATTTTGTAAACGAAGGGTAGATTGTAGTACGACTCAGCCGTTGGGGGAGCTCCGCTTGGACAAAACCATAACATTTTAAACAAAGTTCATTCATTTTTTTTGGAAAGACATAGATGTTTTAAATAATGAAAAAATGTGACAATAAATGTATTATATATTCTTAATTCTAAAAATATGCATAGTTGCATCTCGAAAAGGAAATGTAGGCAATTTTCTGAAAAAATCAACACTGGCACCCCTACATTCTTTCTCTTTGGCCGACTCAATATAATATGACGTAATTGCGTGGTCTACTGCGCAGTCGCAGTAAGATCAAGGTGTGTTGGTAGCTAAACTGCAGGGTTTCGAGACAGGTGAAATTGGCTTCCAATTGTGAGTATATTGATCGTTTTCTCGCTTTTGTTTTTGACATTTGTGCATTTTTCTTAAGAAATCAAATTAACAACTGTGCCTCTGCGTTGTAATTTGTGCGAAAATGTTCGTAACATGTTAGATATTTCGCCTCAAATTTCGTCTCTGTCACTTCCGAATTCGACGCTAAAACTCTTTTTATTTCATACCTGCTCCTATCGAAAATTAAGTGATCGATGATGTGAAACCCACCGGTTTACCGGTAATTGTTGTATTTTAGCGACATCTAGAATGTGTTATTTATTAATAAACCCAATAAGTTGACAAGAAAATGTCACTTCCGCTCGGAAATTAGCAATGAAGAGAGCAGATTTTTACGTGTTGTTGTGACTCAACCCAGGGATCTGGCCTGTCGGTGTCGGGCAACGCTGCCCGTGTGATTGGCAGAGCGAGGAGTATTTACCGTTTATCGTTATCGTTCCTAATTAAAGCTGTAATTATCGCGTGAATATTCTGAAACAGGTAATTCTGGCAGTGTAATATCATTAGGTTTTTTTGGCTTCTGTGCTGTGCTGATTAGGAGGGCGTTGGAATCAATCGACATCACATAGTTGCCATTCCTAATATGGTCCACTCATATTTACATATCAATTGTTCGCTGAACACCGAACATTGTTGTCTTCGTGGTGTGGCACACGCTATAAAAAAACACATGTTTAAATATAATGCATCATTTCCCCTGTCTAAATTTTTGCTCCACTCCGATGTGTGTGTGGCCGTGAGAATTAATATAACAGAAATTAATATTTAGTATATACTACCTGTTGATTGTCAGCCTTTTGAAAAATAAAGTGAACTTTCACAAATTAATTAAACATGTGTAGTTTTTTATAGCTGTGTGTCCATAGCTCAACTTGCATCTGTCTTTTCAGTCCTTCTAGTGGTATTTTAGTCATTTCTGAAACATTTGTTGTCCTTAAAGTTATTTTTGGGATATGAATACTTTATTGACACAGAAGACACAGTATGTTAAAATTGTTGGAGTGAAAATCATGACAAAAACGATAGGGTTGATGTTGTTTTTTCCTGGATTTATATCAATAAACCATACTCTTTGAGTTGTTGCACAGTTCTAATTTGAGCATTTCTGCATGTGTAGTGCACGTACTGAAATCAGGCCCTCATTCTTCAATCTGTTATTTCACCCAAACAGGGAAAACGATGCGCATATGATAATAATAATTATTGCTATATTGAAATTATATTCATTTGTTGTTATGGTATTTATTACGAGTCATCATGCATATGAACAGCAAAAAAGATTCAGAAAACACCAGTTGCAGCAGAACATAAATATGTGTCACTGATGACTGTTTGCATTCATTTCATTCATTACTACAGCATATGACCATATACATGTATAGCTTCACTTCCCTCCATTGTCATGTCATACTTGTATGAATCAGTATATGTTCTCTTAAATTCACCACTGAGGATGTGATTTAGGTTTGTGCCGAGCGTTCAGGTAGCAAATCTCGGCTTGTGTCGCGTTTTTGTCTCATTCATATATCGGGGCCGAAATTTACTGCTTAACTGTGAAGACAAAGTTGTTTAATTAGTCCCCGTTTGGACACAGTCTGAAAACAGGGACTTGGGGATTGACCTTTGTGTGTCCGTGCATGCTTCCGGACCTATATCTTAGACATGCCTGGACCAATTACATTCAAACTTCACACATACATCATCATCATTATTATTATTATTATTTTATTATTATTATTACATAATATTATACATATGCACATCAATTTGTTTCACGTTCTGATTCAAAATAGCCAAATGGCAACAATTTCTGTGCTAAAAAATCATCAAATATCAAGCATTTCTGGCATTTATGGATTGATTTTGTTCAAACTTGTACATACATTAGACATTATGGGTTCCTGATGCACGTCATTTTATTTTTCAGATCAGATTCAAAATGGCTGGCTGGTGGCAATTTTGTTTTAATGAAAGAGCTTCTAGATCCATATCTCTGACATTCTTTGTCTGATTATGTTCAAATTTTATATATTAATATAGAAAATGTATTCAAAATGGCCGATTAATTAATTAATTAATGCTGTACCAGAGCAATATGGACAAGTACTTGTTTAACGATCAAATACAAGATGTCAATCATTTTAATGTTAAAATAAAATTATATCATAATCATATTCCTGACATTCCAACTATATCACTATATTAGCAAAACTATATATCTTAAATTCGATATCTAACGTGGACTGTGTCGTCATGGCTTGTTTACTTATTAATTCAAAACAAATTAAATAATTGTAAGTGTAAAAAGTTTATTGACCTCAATGATGTCATTACCAATAATTAGTCATATTTAAATTTAACACAAAGACCATGTTACATGACTTGCACATCAATTTTCTTTAGCATTTAATTGTTAAAAATGGTCAACTAGTGAACATTTCCATTCATTTCCATCCCGAATTTTCTCACCAATTTTTGCATTTGATGATTTTATCGTTATGTAATTCATGAAACAAAATTTGCGATTTACAATATGCTTGATTGTGTTTGTTCAAGACTGTCAAATTATTCATATATACAGACTAAGTATGGTCCACAAATGTTTCACTTTACCTAAAATAAAATTATTTTTTTTTTGCAGGAAAATTAAGAACTTATTAACTCCCCTACCTACACGTATAAACTAAAGGTATTAACTTTTGATGCTGTCCCTGAGAATACTTGTCAGTATAGACAGTTTAGTGATCTCAGTGATTTCATCCTTTCTTGTAGATGCACATAAAAGTTGAACGTTGTTAGAAAATTTACTTATAATATAATTGTCCCTAGGAAACTAAGAACACATAATCCTAATTTACTATTAGAATGGATGGTATACAGGACAGAGTGCTTCTAAATCTCTCTTGAAATCTATGTACTTCTGCTAGGACTTGGTACAGATTTTTCTCCATATTTACTTTATCCCGATGCATACTAGCAATAACTTGCATAATGGTTCTACAGATAACACGTTTGTGCAGACATAATAATCATGGTTCAAGGGGTAACTTTTTATAAACCTCATCTCACAGTAAATAAACAATGGATAACAAAACAGATTGAGTGAAAATATCATAAAAAATATTTTCATAAACTGTTAACCCACTTTAAAATTAATTACCAGAATACATACTTTTTGAATTATGTCACTGTGACCTTCTTGAAAATATTCAATACAGGAAAACACCCTTATTAGAATCATCAAATGGTAATACTTTCAAATCACAAAAAGTGTAAACTAATTCTGCATTCTTTATTCCACCTACGATTTCCACAACGATTTCATTAAAAGCCACAGGGAGTACCCTGTGGCTTTTAATGAAATCGTCATGGTGTGCCACACCGTTGCCATCAATTTCACCGGATATAACTGACATTTTTATGCTGAAATATTTATCTCTATGTCAAAGGTCCCTTGTACCTTTATGGTAGGTCATGACTTGTGTGTACATTTCATAGTCCACATGGCCACAGGGTATCTGTTAGGTTTCTGGTCATTGAACACACTAGTTATACTTACAAATGTCAGTAGTGTGTCAGAAATCTAAAATTCTAAAAAAAAAAATCAGATTTAAATTGAACTTGTGGTAGAGGTGCTCTGGAATAAATCTGACCGCAAACCACAGATATACAATCAAATTTATTTTCTGTGAGTATTATAAACTTCAATACTGGGATTCATGGTGTTTTCACATTGTAAAACTTGAATAGCAGACAAATATTAGTTGCCAAGCTTTTTGTTTGAAAGGCTTATTGTAAATTTTTAATTAATTTTAAATATGCCTCAAATACTCTCTCAGCACACAAGTTCTTCCTAACCTTTCTTTGACTTTTTGTTTGTTTTTGGCCTTATTTATGCCTAAATTGGGTTTAAACTGAATCTCTTCTCTTTTCTCCACTGAGCATTTTGTCCAAGCTGTTATCTGCCACATTTGTTGCTTGCCAGTGAAAATATTCTTGTCATAATATTTCATTTTTGTGTTTCCTTGGCAACAGAGTAAATTACAATAATATATAATTATCCAAGATGTCGAGCCGTAAGACGAAAGGAAAGACAACGAAGAAGCGAGCACAACGTGCCACTTCCAATGTGTTTGCTATGTTTGATCAAGCACAGATCCAAGAATTCAAAGAAGCATTTAACATGATTGATCAAGATAGAGATGGCTTCATAAACAAAGAGGATCTTCACGACATGTTGGCATCCCTTGGTAAGTAGCAATAGGTGACTTGAATTCAGGGTTGGGGTAGGTTTGATTATATATATTGTTTATATATATATATATATTGTATTGCCATTATTTTAATAATCCATTATACAATAAAAGCTTCTAATAGAGCTAATTTGGTGAGGCCATGGAGCTAAAAAAAAAGGAGACTGAACTCCCTTTGATGCTATTGTTACTGTGGCTTGACGACTGAACTGTATTTTATCAT